TATTACAAAGCTTCTGCTACGACCAACAACCTCATATTGAAGGAAAATATAGGCCCCAACCACATTGCAACTACGTGACCAACAACCACATATTGAAGGAAATATGAGCCCAACCACATTTACAACTACGTGAACAACAACCTCATATTGAAGGAAGTATATGACCCAACCACATTGCAACTACGTGACCAACAAACTCATATTGATGGAAGTATGGAGTCCAACCATATTGCCCAACTACGTGACCAACAACCTCTTATTGAGGAAGTATGGTAAACATATTGCAACTACGTGACCAACAACCTCATATTGAAGGAGTATGGGCCCAACGACATTGCAACTACGTGACCAACAACCTCATATTGAAGGAAGTATAGAGCCCAACCACATTTACCTTCTTTGACCAACAACCTCATATTGAAGGAAGTGTGAAACCACATTGCAATTACCAACAACCTCATAATGAAGGAAAGTATGAGCCCAAACCTTGCAACTACGTGACCAACAACTCATATTGAAGGAAATGTATGGCCCCAAGCACATTGCAACTACGTGACCAACAACCTCCTTATTGAAGGAAGTATGGGCCCAACCACATTTACAACTACGTGACCAACAAACTCATATTATTGAAGGAAGTGTGACCCCAACCACATTGCAACTACGTGACCCAACAACCTCATATTGAAGGAAGTATAGGGCCAACCACATTGCAACTACGTGACCAACAACCTCATATTGAAGGAAGGAAACATAAGACCAACCACATTGCAACTATATGACCAACAACCTCATATTGAAGGAAGTATGAGCCAACCACATTGCAACTTCGTGACCAACAACCTCTTATTGAAGGAAGTATAAGCCCAACCACACATTGCAACTACGTGACCAACAACCTCATTTGAAGAAAATAAGCCCAACCACATTGCAACTGCGTGACCAACAACCTCATATTGAAGGAAGTATAATTTAACCACATTGCAACTACATGACCAACAACCTCATATTGAAGGTAATATGGGCCCAACCACATTGCAACTACGTGACCAACAACCTCATATTGAAGGAAATATAGGCCTAACCACATTGCAACTACGTGACTAACAACCTCTTATTGAAGAAATTATGAGCCCAACCACATTGCAACTACGTGACCAACAACCTCATATTGAAGGAAGTATGAGCCCAACCATATTGCAACTACGTGACCTACAAACTCATATTGAAGGAAATATGAACCCAACCATATTGCAACTACGTGACCAACAATCTCATATTGAAGGAATATGCGCTCAACCACATTGCAACTACGTGACCAACAACCTCATATTGAAGGAAATATAAGCCCAACCACATTGCAACTACGTGACCAACAACCTCATATTGAAGGAATTATAGCCCCAACCACATGAACTAGGTGACCAACAACAATCTCATTGCATACGTGATGGATATTGTATGAGCCCAACCATTGCAACTACGTGACCAACAACCTCCATATTGGATTGAAAGTATAGGCCCAACCACATTGCAACTACGTGACCAACAACCTGATATTGAAGAAATATGAGCCCAACCATGTTTGCAACTACATGACCAACAACCTCATATTGAAGGAAGTATGAGCCCAACCACATTGCAACTACGTGACCAACAACCTCATATTGAAGGAAAGTATGAGCTCAACCACATTGCAACTACATGACCAACAACCTCATATTGAAGGAAGTATAGAGACCAACCATTTGCAACTACGTGACCAACAACCTCATATTGAGAAGACGATTGCCCAACCACATTACAACTACGTGACCAACAACCTCATATTGAAGGAAGTATAGGCCAACCACATTGCAACTACGTGACCAACAACCTCATATTGAAGGAAATATGAGCCCAACCACATTGCAACTACGTGACCAACAACCTCATATTGAAGGAAGTATGAGCCCCAACCATTTGCAACTACGTGACCAACAACCTCATATTGAAGGAAGATGCGCCAACCACATTGCAACTACGTGACCAACAACCTCATATTGAAGGAAGAGTATGAGCCCAACCATTGCAACTACGTGACCAACAACCTCATATTGAAGGAAAGTATAGGCCCAACCACATTGCAACTACGTGACCAACAACCTCATATTGAAGGAAGTATGAGCCCAACCACATTGCAACTACGTGACCAACAACCTCATATTGAAGGAAGTATGAGCCCAACCACATTGCAACTACGTGACCAACAACCTCATATTGAAGGAAGTATAGACCCAATCTCATATTGAAGAGTATGGCCCAACCACATTGCAACTACGTGACCAACAACCTCATATTGAAGGAAGTATGAGCCCAACCACATTGCAACTACGTGACCAACAACCTCATATTGAAGGAAGTATGAGCCCAACCACATTGCAACTACGTGACCAACAACCTCATATTGAAGGAAGTATGAGCCCAACCACATTGCAACTACGTGACCAACAACCTCATATTGAAGGAAATATGAGCCCAACCACATGCAACTACGTGACCAACAACCTCATATTGAAGGAAGTATGAGCCCAACCACAACATTGCAACTACGTGACCAACAACCTCATATTGAAGGAAGTATGAGCCCAACCACATTGCAACTACGTGACCAACAACCTCATATTGAAGGAAGTATGACCCAACCACATTGCAACTACGTGACCAACAACCTCATATTGAAGGAAGTATTTGAGGCCCAACCACATTGCAACTACGACCAACAACCTCATATTGAAGGAAAGTATGAGCCCAAACAATTGCAACTACGTGACCAACAACCTCAAATTGAAGGAAGTACCAACCCACCTCATTGCAACTACGTGACCAACAACATCATATTGAAGGAACCTCATATTCAAGTATGAGTCCAACCACATTGCAACTACGTGACCAACAACCTCCTTATTGAAGGAAGTATGAGCCCAACCACATTGCAACTACGTGACCAACAACCTCATATTAGAAGGAAGTATGATTCAACCACATTGCAACTACGTGACCAACAACCTCATATTGAAGGAAGTATGAGCCCAACCACATTGCAACTACATGACCAACAACCTCATATTGAAGGAAGTATGCCCAACCACATTGCAACTACGTGACCAACAACCTCATATTGAAGGGAAGTATGAGCCCAACCACATTGCAACTACGTGACCAACAACCTCTTATTGAAGAAAAATATGGCCCCAACATTGCAAATACGTGATAACAAAACTACGTGACCAACAACCTCATATTGAAGCGAAATATGAGCCCAAGCACATTGCAACTGCGTGACCAACAACCTCATATTGAAGTAAGTATGAGCCCAACCACATTGCAACTACGTGACCAACAAACTCATATTGAAGGAAGTATGAGCCCAACCACATTGCAACTACGTGACCAACAACCTCTCATATTGAAGGAATGAGCCCAACCCATTGCAAACTACGTGACCAACAACCTCATATTGAAGGAAGTTGAGACCAACAACCACATTGCAAAAATATAGGCCCAGCATACGTGACCAACAACCTCATATTGAAGGAAGTATGAGCCCAACCACATTGCAACTACGTGACCAACAAACTCATATTGAAGGAAGTATGAGCCCAACCACATTGCAACTACGTGACCAACAACCTCATATTGATGGAAGTATGAGCCCAACCACATTGCAACTACGTGACAACCCTCATATTGAAGGAAGTATGAGCCCAACCACATTACAACTACGTGACCAACAAACCTCATATTGAAGGAAGTATGAGCCCAAACCATATTGCAACTACGTGACCAACAACCTCATATTGAAGGAAGTATGTGCCCAACCACATTGCAACTAGGTGACCAACAACCTCATATTGAAGGAAATATGAGCCCAACCACATTGCAACTACGTGACCAACAACCTCATATTGAAGGAAGTATGAGCCCAACCACATTGCAACTACGTGACCAACAACCTCATATTGAAGGAAATATAGGCCCAACCATATTGCAACTACGTGACCAAACAACCTCATATTGAAGGAAGTATGAGCCCAACCACATTGCAACCCAACCACATTGCAAATTACGTGACCAACAACCTCATATTGAAGGAAAATATGCCAACCACATTGCAACTACGTGACCAACAACCTCATATTGAAGGAAAATGAGCCCAACCATATTGCAACTACGTGACCAACAACCTCATATTGAAGGAAGTATGAGCCCAACCACATTGCAACTACGTGACCAACAACCTCATATTGAAGGAAGTATGCGCCAACCACATTGCAACTACGTGACCAACAACCTCATATTGAAGGAAGTATGAGCCCAACCACATTGCAACTACGTGACCAACAACCTCATATTGAAGAAAATATGAGCCCAAGCACATTGCAACTACGTGACCAACAACCTCATATTGAAGGAAGTATGAGCCTACGTGACCAACAACCTCATATTGAAGGAAGTTGAGCCCAACTACATTGCAACTACGTGACCAACAACCTCATATTGAAGGAAGTATGAGGCCCAACCACATTGCAACTACGTGACCAACAACCTCATATTGAAAAAATATAGGCCCAACCACATTGCAACTACGTGACCAACAACCTCATATTGAAGAAAGTATGAGCCCAACCACATTGCAACTACGTGACCAACAACCTCATATTGAAGGAATTATGAGCCCAACCACATTGCAACTACGTGACCAACAACCTCATATTGAAGGAAGTATGAGCCCCAACCACATTGCAACTACGTGACCAACAACCTCATATTGAAGGAAAGTATAGGCCCAACCACATACAACTACGTGACCAACAACCTCATATTGAAGGAAGAGTAACGACGCATTAGCCCAACCTCATTGCAACTACCCAACGACATGACCAACAACCTCATATTGAAGGAAGTATGAGCCCAACCATTTGCAACTACGTGACCAACAACCTCATATTGAAGGAAATATGAGCCCAACCACATTGCAACTACGTGACCAACAACCTCATATTGAAGGAAGTATGAGCCCAACCACATTGCAACTACGTGACCAACAACCTCCTCATATTGAAGGAAGTATGAGCCCAACCATATTGCAACTACGTGACCAACAACCTCATATTGAAGGAAGTATGAGCCCAACCACATTGCAACTACGTGACCAACAACCTCATATTGAAGGAAGTATGAGCCCAACCACATTGCAACTACGTGACCAACAACCTCATATTGAAGGAAATATGAGCCCAACCACATTGCAACTACGTGACCAACAACCTCATATTGAAGGAAGTATAGGCCCAACCATATTGCAACTACGTGACCAACAACCTCACATTGAAGGAAGTGACCAACAATCTCATATTGAAGCCCAACCACATTGCAACTACGTGACCAACAACCTCATATTGAAGGAAGTATGAGAGCCCAACCACATTGCAACTACGTGACCAACAACCTCATATTGAAGGAAGTATGAGCCCAACCACAACCGTTGCAACTACGTGACCAACAACCTCATATTGAAGGAAATATGAGCCCAACCACATTGCAACTACGTGACCAACAACCTCATATTGAAGGAAGTATAAGGCCCAACCATTTTGCAACTACGAAGTAGGTAGGGCCCAACCATAATGAACTACAACAACCTCATATTGAAGGAAGTATGAGCCCAACCATTGCAGCTACGTGACCAACCTCACAAGGAAGTTGCAACATTGCAACTGTGACCAACAACCTCATATTGAAGGAAGTATGAGCCCAACCACATTACGCAACTACGTGACCAACAACCTCCAACATTGAAGGAAGTATGAGCCCAACCACATTGCAACTACGTGACCAACAACCTCATATTGAAGGAAGTATGGCCCAACCACATTGCAACTACGTGACCAACAACCTCATATTGAAGGAAGTAACTACTGACGAACCAACCACATTGCAACTACAGACCACCAACAACCTCATATTGAAGGAAGTATGAGCCCAACCACATTGCAACTAAATGATCAACAACCTCATATTGAAGGAGGTATGAGCCCAACCACATTGCAACTACGTGACCAACAACCTCATATTGAAGGAGGTATGAGCCCAACCACATTGCAACTACGTGACCACAACCTCATATTGAAGGAAGTATGCGCTCTACCACATTGCAACTACGTGACCAACAACCTCATATTGAAGGAAGTAAACCACATTGCAACTATCATTGAAGAAAATATGAGCCCAACCACATTGCAACTATTGAAGGACAAACAACCTCTATATTGAAGGAAAATATAGGCCCAACCACATTGCAACTACGTGACCAACAACCTCATATTGAAGGAAGTATGACCCCAACCACATTGCAACTACGTGACCAACAACCTCATATTGAAGGAAGTATGAGCCCAACCACATTGCAAACTACGACCAACAACCTCATATTGAAGGAAGTATGAGTCCAACCACATTGCAACTACGTGACCAACAACCTCATATTGGAAGGAAGTATGAGCCCAACCACATTGCAACTACGTGACCAACAAACTCATATTGAAGGAAGTATGAGCCCAACCACATTGCAACTACGTGACAAACAACCTCATATTGAAGGAAAGTATGAGCCAACCACATTGCAACTACGTGACCAACAACCTCATATTGAAGGAAGTATGAGCCCAACCACATTGCAACTACGTGACCAACAACCTCATTATTGGAAGGAAGTATGAGCCCAACCACATTGCAACTACGTGACCAACAACCTCATATTGAAGGAAGTATGAGCCCAACCACATTGCAACTACGTGACCAACAACCTCATATTGAAGGAAGTATGAGCCCAACCACATTGCAACTACGTGACCAACAACCTCATATTGAAGGAAGTATGAGTTCAACCACATTGAAACTACCTGACCAACAACCTCATATTGAAGGAAGTATGCGCCAACCACTTTGCAACTACGTGACCAACAACCTCTTATTGAAGGAAGTATGAGCCCAACCACATTGCAACTACGTGACCAACAACCTCATATTGAAGAAAATATGAGCCCAAGCACATTGCAACTGCGTGAACAAATGAACCTCATATTGAAGGAAACGTGAGCCCAACCACATTGAAGGGAAGTATGAGCCCAACCACATTGTGACCAACCAACAACCTCATATTGAAGGAAGTATAGGCCCAACCACATTGCAACTACGACCAACAACCTCATATTGAAGGAAGTATGAGCCCAACCACATTGCAACTACGTGACCAACAACCTCATAATGGAAGGAAAAGTATGAGCCCAACCACATTGCAACGACGTGACCAACAACCTCATATTGAAGGAAGTATGAGCCCAACCACATTGCAGAGCCCAACCACATTACCTTTACGTGACCAACAACCTCATATTGAAGGAAGTATGAGCCCAACCACATTGCAACTACGTGACCAACAACCTCATATTGAAGGAAGTATGAGCCCAACCACATTGCAACTACGTGACCAACAACCTCATATTGAAGGAAGTATGAGCCCAACCACATTGCAAAACTACGTGACCCTCAATTGAAGGAAGTATAGGCCCAACCTCATATTGAAGGACAACCTATGAAGGAACCACATTGCAACTACGTGACCAACAACCTCATATTGAAGGAAGTATGCGCCCAACCACATTGCAACTACGTGACCAACAACCTCATATTGAAGGAAATATGACAACCCAACCACATTGCCCAACTACGTGACCAACAACCTCATATTGAAGGAAAATATAGGCCCAACCACATTTGCAACTTCCACGTGACCAACAACCTCATATTGAAGGAAGTATGGACGAGACCAACCACATTGCAACTACGTGACCAACAACCTCATATTGAAGGAAGTATGAGCCCAACCACATTGCAACTACGTGACCAACAACCTCATATTGAAGGAAGTATGAGCCCAACCACATTGCAACTACGTGACCAACAAACCTCATATTGAAGGAAGTATGAGGCCCAACCACATTGCAACTACGTGACCAACAACCTCATATTGAAGGAAGTATGAGCCCAACCACATGCAACTACGTGACCAACAACCTCATATTGAAGGAATATGAGCCCAACCACATTGCAACTACGTGACCAACAACCTCATATTGAAGGAAGTATAGAGCCCAACCACATTGCAACTACGTGACCAACAACCTCATATTGAAGGAAGTATGAGGCCCCAACCACATTGCCAACAACTATATTGACCAACCAACCTCATTGCAACTACGTGACCAACAACCTCATATTGAAGGAAGTATGCGCTCCAACCACATTGCAACTACCTGACCAACAACCTCATATTGAAGGAATTGAGCCCAACCACATTACTGCAACTACGTGACCAACAACCTCATATTGAAGGAATTATGAGCCCAAACACATTGCAACTACGTGACCAACAACCTCATATTGAAGAAAAATATGAGCCCAACCACATTGCAACTACGTGACCAACAACCTCATATTGAAGGAAGTATGAGCCCCAACCACGTGACCAACAACCTCATGAAGGAAGTAGGGAGCAACTACGCTGACCAACAACCTCATATTGAAGGAAGTATAGAGCCCAACCACATTGCAACTACGTGACCAACAACCTCATATTGATGGAAACGAGGTGACCAACCACCTTTGCAACTACGTGACCAACAACCTCATATTGAAGGAAATATGAGCCCAACCACATTGCAACTACGTGACCAACAACCTCATATTGAAGGAAGTATGAGCCCAAACCACATTGCAACTACGTGACCAACAACCTCATATTGAAGGAAATATGAAACCACATTGCAACTACGGAAACCTCATATTGAAGGACGTATGAGCCCAACCACATTGCAACTACGTGACCAACAACCCCATATTGAACCAACAACCTCCAAATAACCTCATATTGAAGGAAGTATGAGCCCAACCACATTGCAACTACGTGACCAACAACCTCATATTGAAGGAAGTATAGACCAACAACCCCTCTTAACCACATTGCAACTACATGACCAACAACCTCATACTGAAGAATGTATGAGCCCAACAACAACTATGTGAACAACCTCATATTGAAGGAAGTATGAGCCCAACCACATTAAAACTACGTGACCAACAAACCTCATATTGAAGGATGAGCCCAACCACATTGCAACTACGTGACCAACAACCTCTTATATTGAACTACGTGACCAACAACCTCATATTGAAGGAAGTATAAGGCCCAACCACATTGCAACTACGTGACCAACAACCTCATATTGAAGGAAGTATGAGCCCAACCACATTGCAACTAAAACGTGACCAACAACCTCATATTGAAGGAAGTAGAGCCCAACCACATTGCAACTACGTGACCAACAACCTCATATTGAAGGAAGTATAGGCCAACCACATTGCAACTACGTGACCAACAACCTCATATTGAAGAAAAGAGGTATGAGCCCAACCACATTGCAACTACGTGACCAACAACCTCATATTGAAGGAAGTATGAGCCCAACCACATTGCAACTACGTGACCAACAACCTCATATTGAAGGAAGTATGAGCCCAACCACATTGCAACTACGTGACCAACAACCTCATATTGAAGGAAGTATGCGCCAACCACATTGCAACTACATGACCAACAACCTCATATTGAAGGACGTATGCGCCCAACCACATTGCAATTACGTGACCAACAACCTCATATTGAAGGAAGTATGAGCCCAACCACATTGCAACCTCATATTGAAGGAAGTATGAAACCTCATTGCAACTTGACCAACAACCTCATATTGAAGGGATATATGAGCCCAACCACATTGCAACTACGTGACCAACAACCTCATATTGAAAGAAGTATTAGCCCCAACCACATTGCAACTACGTGACCAACAATCTCAACCATTGAAGGAAACAACCTCATATTGTATTGCAACTACGCCCAACAACCTCATATTGAAGGAAGTATATAGCCCAACCACATTGCAACTACGACCAACAACCTCATATTGAAGGGAATATGAGCCCAACCACATTGCAACTAAATGACCAACAACCTCATATTGAAGGAAGTATGGCCCAACCACATTGCAACTACGTGACCAACAACCTCATATTGAAGGAAGTATGAGCCAACCACATTGCAACTACGTGACCAACAACCTCATATTGAAGGAAGTATGAGCCCAAACATATTGCAACTACGTGACCAACAACCTCATATTGAAGGAAGTATGAGCCCAACCACATTGCAACTACGTGACCAACAACCTCATATTGAAGGAAGTATGAGCCCAACCACATTGCAACTACGTGACCAACAACCTCATATTGAAGGAAATATGGAGCCCAACCACATTGCAACTACGTGACCAACAACCTCATATTGAAGGAAGTATAG